CACACCAGATGAGGACGGATGAAAATCGTTGTACTGCAGCCGTTCGGCTTCTATATGATATTCATGTTGACGCAGTTCACGAGTCTTCCTCCGTCCTCATCTGGTGAGATCGACAAACTAATCTCTTCTTCATGCACTTTCATTCGAAATGAAGATCCCCCTAACAAAAGATATATGCCTTTTTAAGTTTTTTGAAGTCATCTGAAATATCGGATTGATACTTTCAGTATACTTTTGTATTAAAGAGAACCATTGCATCGACTATTTCGTTTTATTTGGTTTTGTTTGGCTTGGGATTTACAAGTACGCTCTCCATATTTACTTCTAGCGTTTTATAGTTTGTTAACATATACATTTATAATCTTGCTTTGACTGGATGCACTCTATTTCGGTGTATATTTGTCCTTATAAATGATTATTGAATCAACCTTCATGAAGCTACTTTTGCCTACCTATATGATAATATTCAAGAACCAAAATATATGAATAGCTATCCTTATCCTGCTCATTTTGCTAAACAAATTATACTATATGATTTTTTACAAATGAATAAACTTGTAAAGCTCTTCAGGATTAAAATTTTAATCTGGACTGTTCTAAAGACCTAGGCTCGAAACACCAACCACAAATAAATTTTAAAAATTAAAAAAAATAATTGTTAATAGGCTTTAATTTTATATTTCCTTAAAGCAATACAATCTTGGATATTTAAATACTAAAAATCTTGAAAGATTATACGACTTCTCATTTATGATAAAATCGGGTTGTAAGTTAATAAATTATTTTGCTCATATGGTCATGACTTCAGGTGTATATGCCCTTATCTGATAAAAACTGCCATTTTTCAAACTTTAACCTAAATATTGCGTAAGAATTATCTTGCTAGTAACGTATAGCCTTAAATTTAACTTAGCGACTATTCTAAACTGATGCCCCTTTAGATATGCTTGGCTAAATCAGCTAAAAACTTTAAAATGCAAATTTTGAAAGGAATATATTAAGCAATAATTTATTATTTTAGCCATACTTAAGGATATAAGCTATAGCCTTTTTTAGTACTTTAAATTACAAGAAAATCAAATTGATCTCTACTATATTCTAATTTTACTGCATATAATTCATATGAATATAGTAGATTAAATGCTGTAATCAATATTTCAAGACACAGATTTTGATTTATTTCTCTACCCAAATATCAGTTTTAAATTATCGTCTCATGCCTGTAGATTTAATCGATGGTTAGACTCTATTTACTCATTTTAAGTGAAGATATATCATTTATTGTGGGAGTGTTCAAGATAAATGGATAATGATTTTAATGTTTTATAAATTAAACGGAACTGCAATATTTCATGATATTTATATATTTTGATTTATTTTTTTGTGAATAGGAATAAAAAGCATAAGTTTTATTGAATATAATTATTTTATTATTTTTTATTAATTTTCACGGATATAGGTTTTTCTCTTCGACCGGATGCTTCTAATAACCGAGGAGTTGCGCAGCAAGAAAAGAGGAGCTGCTTTTGGAATTACAAGTGATTTAGCTTCTCCTAATGGAAGTGCAATGGGTCTCGCTGGTGTCGGGCCTGCGACTGGCCCTTTGCTAAGTTCCATCCCAGCGGCATGCAACTACTCGACCCAACTGACTGGACTAGCCTCCTTAACCATCGCCTCGCCAACAAACCCAGCTCCCGATATCCCAAACCTTTTGGTCTCAGGGTCAGGAGGGGAGACCGCTACTACTAGCCCTTACTTCTTCGCTACCTCATCATTCTCTGGGTCCTCTGGAATAGGAATTACTACGCCTTCAGGCAGTCTAGGCTCTGCTTGTTCTGGTTTAGGTGTTGGCGAATCAGGAAATGTTGGTGGTTCCGTCGCTGCTCCAACAACAATACCTTCATCATTGGGCTTAGCTGGTCACAGTACGACTGTGCCGACTGCACTTTCCTGTTCGCCTGCCCCCCTTAATGCGCAGTTTGCCCTGATGGATGTGCCTACCGATGCATTCACACAATCCACCTACCACTTCAAGGTGGCCATCAATGTGAACAAAATGAAATTTTTGGTGAGGTGAACTGTTATCATCCGCCATTATATTCTAATTATATAGGGCAAAAATTACTAACTGCTTTTATTTCCGAAATTAATAGTATACATTAACCCATCTTCTCTGGTGCTTCAGGGTTCATATTTTCCACAAATAGTAGTTATATTCTTAGAACTTCTGAAGGGATGGAACATGGAGCAGAGACGAATTCCATCTTCAACGAAAATTGCCTAACATATACCTGGCTGCCTAGACTTTCAAGAATGCTTGTAAAGACAGATCGCAAATTATGCGTTTTTAGATCGGACTGCTTAAATAATTACTCTTTTATGCGTAACGAGGAAAAATCCTTATAGAATATTTTGGCTATCCCTTTTATCACCATAATAGCATTCATTATTCCAGAGCAAGGAAGCTTGGCCAATGGTTTTGGCACGCCACTGGCAATTCTTGCAGATAGGTATATAACTCATTTTTGTCCTAGGATTTATGATTATATTTTATTGTTTAGCTTCCGTAAATACATAGACATGTAATAAAACTTTAACTTATCATATGGTATTTGACTATTACCTGAGAAGTCTAGATTCCCGAATTTATAAACATTTAACTATGTGTCCTGGTTTGATCAATGTTTTTACATTATTTTGCAATATCTTACCAATTTCATTCGCAGTAGCTGCCTCTAAGGCTATAAGATATAAATTTCATTTGTTTTTCCTATAACCCTATAGGGTTAAGATAAACGGCTTTCATGATTAGGATCCTGGCTAGGTAAGCTTGCACAAACATATACATTATCAAATTATGAAGAATTCCTTGATGAAATATTGTGGCATGACTCTCCATTTCGTAGGGAAAGTTGGTTGGAAGGAATTCGTGATGGGGTCTCACTGGAAATTGAAGTAGGATTGTCGCGTAAGGAAGACTGTGACCCAGATGAAACTTTGCTAAGCTTTCGTCTGTACTGTGATAGAGAAGGAATTCGTAGTTCACGAAATAGAGCAAAAATATACTAAACCAAGAGAAAAGGTGGCCGGCTGCAACCCTAGTCCTTTTTTTGTATACCTAAAATAGCGATCTTAATGAGGCCTTGCCTGATTTGGTTGGCTACTTCAACCTTACTTTACATACTTGCAAATGAGTGAATTTAACTTCCCGAACCGGAAATACGTTCAGAAGCAGCTGTTTAATCACACAAAAATAGCGTTTGTTCGCCTAATGTCGAGTCATGTTTGGGAGAGTCATGCCACAATGTTTTATCAAGATATTCTTCGAAACCCAGTTTTTATTCATATCTTCGAAGTTTGTGCGGTTTAAATTCTTTTCGGAATTCGTAATTATATACAAAAACCAAGAGATCGTCGGCCATGCAAGTCAATCACATTCCCTTTTTGAAAGTTTGCTCTACTCGTAGAATTATACCTAGATTTTGCATTATTTATAGACCTAATTTACATTGTAAAAATAAGACCAAGCTTTTGGACGTTTGCAATAATTTGATTGATATTAGACTTAAGGAACACATTGCAAAGCTATATTACCTAATCAGAAATAAGACAAGACTTAGTCAAATTTTGCTCGATGATCTTAGTTCAGAAGACTTTCTAAAACTTATGTGTATAGCGGATAGTTTACATGATACGCTTTTCCGACAGATTGAGAAGACACATGATAAGAAATAAAGAAATTTTGGTGTAAGAATCAGCTCATGGAAACGACCTACATCTAATGAATTGAAGTATAAGGATAGCCATCGCCAACAAATGGTAAATCTGTTCAAAACTTCATTTGACATTTCTACCGAAGAGGCTTAAACTTTGCCTTTCCAAATAGTAAGGATTTTAAAGAGGAAATTTTGGTAGAACTGATAAGATTAAAGGATGGTCTCCCAGAGGATACTAGGAGTTACATGAAACTACATGTTTTCCCTTTAATTGATGGTAATGTAGAAACACCATATAAGAATAAGACGGTTAGGACTATTATAAGGAAGCTTAAGGAGAACTATTAACTAGTATTAAGGGCAGACAAAGGAGGAGCAGTAGTAGTTACGGATAAGACTGATTATGCAGAGAAAATATTAGAGGTATTGGATGATGATACAACATATAAGGCTATAATTAGGGACCCGACAGAAGGCCGTAAGGTTAGACTTAAGGGTCTTTGCAACAATGTGTAAACAGTGGAGAACTGGAAAAGTGGAAAATGAATGCACTTCTCCAGCGAGATGCTAGACCCCCAAATGCGTATTGTCTGCTTAAAATCCATAAGCAAGTTATCCCACTCAGTATTATTGTAAACAATAGAGGTAGCGTGAAGCATAACACATCACGATCTATATTTACTCAATTAAAGCAAATCTCTGAACCTTGAATGTTTTCAGTAAAGAAATCCTACGACTTTATTAAGTTAATTGATGATTAGACGATAGAAAGAGGAGATTTGCTGGTAAGTATAGATGCTATGACTTAATTCTAGATCAACATCCAAAAATCATAACAGGTAAAAAGGTTAAGCAAAGGTTCAATAATTAGATTAGTCAATTAGGCAATGTATAATACATATTTTACCTTCAGTGGTAAGTTGTATGAACAGACTCGAAGTTTGGTTATGGGATCTTGTTTACTTGCTATTTTAGCTAATAATTAAATGGCCCAGTTTCAAGTTCGCGTATTTCAAGAGACACTACTAATTATCAAGTTATAAGTTCGTTATATGGACAATAACTTTGCTGTTTGGCAGCACAGCAAAGATAGTTTAGGGAAATTCCTTGAGGTAATAAATAGAATAGATGCGAACACTAAGTTTACTATTGAGTGAGAAAAGGAAAATAAATTGCATTTTTTGATGTATCAGTGAGCATATAAGGTAGATATGTAAATAGGAAGCCCACTAACGCGGGTTTTCTCATTAATTTCTTCGCGAACCATTCATATATAGTAAAAATAGGAGTTATAAAGTCTGTGATAATAAGGAGTCTGTGTCTAGTAGATGCAAATAATATATGAACCAGGATATTGTTAGATTAAGGAATATATTGTTTCAAAATAATTACTCATTAGGATTAGTAGACAATTACATATCAATTGTAGTTAACAATAGTGAGGGAGTTTGCTATTAGGCGCGGGATAGAAAACTGGACAATTCTACTCGGTTCGTTATTTCGCTTTCCTGACAGTTTGCGAAGAATTTGGGTGATCTATTGAAAAAGTGGAACATCAAAACAATGTATAAAGAGAAAGTGATACTTTA